AAATCGATGACAAATTCGATAAAAATTTCGATAGCAAAATCGAAAATACTATTGGTAGCAAAATCGATTAGAGATTCGATAAAAATATCGATAAAAAATCTATGAATAATCGATTAGAAAATCAATAAAAATATCGCTAACAAAATCGATAAATGATCAATAGCAAAATCGATAAAAATATCGATAAAAAATTCGATAAAAATATCATTAAAAATTTCGATACCAAAATCGATAAAAATATCGATAACAGAATCGTTAGAAATATCGATTATTATATCTACAAGTTCCGAAAGTATCGATAAAAATTTCGATAACAAAATCTAGAAAAATATCGATAGCAAAACCGATAAAAATATCGATAAGTCCCGAGAATCCCGAAAATCTCTAAAATCTCAAAATAGTTTTCTATATCATTTATTCTATAATTACATATTTTTATTTTTATATATTTGCCTCTATCTTCATCTTTACTTTTATCGGTATCCTCATCTTTTTCTTTATATTTATCTTTGTTTTTACTTTTATGTTTATCATTTTCTTCGTCTATATATTTCCCTTCCCCTTAGACNATCTTTACTCATCTTTGTTTTTGTTTTTATTTTTAACTTTGCCTTTCTCCTTTTCTTTATCTATGTACGTACTCACATATACTTTCGTTCTTGTATTGGTCTTTTTCTAAGTATTATTTTTTAACCTTTTATTAGGAAGTTTTCTGTTAAATTAATACCATGAGCATACACTCAAGAAGCGCTTGTTTCAACTCCAACCATTTCCGTTGCACCATTTCCGTGTGCAATTTCCGTTGCATTTGCCAATTTACTTCCAAACAAAAAACCGCCGCTAAAGAAGTTTCATTTTAAAACAGAACCATTTTGAAATATGAGTGTTGTTACTCTCTAGCAAATAATTTATGTAACCTCACATACGCGGTTTTGCACTTTAAACAACGATATAAATATTTATGTATGTATATGTAAGTAAAATGTGTGTTGGTAGGCGGGTGCGTATGAGTAACCTAGAAAAGAGTGCACCCAACAGTGTACTTACTCTGCATGAAGCAACAATGTTGAATTTTACAATTTGTTTACGATTTGCTATTGCACAGTTAATTTGTTGCAAAAATTTACAATTCTACATTTGCAAGTATGTAAATAAGTATTTAATAGGCAATAAGGCAAAAAGCCACAACAACTCTATTAAATAAGTAGCCGGCCGCCTGAAGTCAACAATCTGCGAATGCTCAGCGCAAATAATGGAATGGATGAAACCGGCTGACCGCCGCGCCGCTGATGATTGCAAAAACGAGCATAGGCGCAAACGTCCAGTTGTCTGATTCAAGAATATGAAACACTAGTTCTAGCAACAGCAACAACTGCACACGGCGAGGCTATAAGTATGTATGTATTTACTTAATTTAGATACACATACATAAATGTATTTACATACAAACGCAGCATTTTGGCATCTGCTGATATGTACATGAAATTATTTTATGACTTTTCGACGCGTCAAAGCGGTGGGGCTGTGTGTGCCAAGGTGGGTGGGGGGCCGACATATTCGCGCGTAAATCATCAATTAACAAATTGCAGCTACGCATACCGACAATCTTGCGTATGCCACACAAGTAGCGGCAACAGTGGCGATGGCGGGGGCAGACACTTGTCCATTGAAGTCTTAATTTTTATGTGTTTTGCTATTTTGCTTAATGTTAGTTTTGCCCAAGAATGACCATGGCTGCGCTGAGATCATACAGAGACGCTTACATGTATGTACGAGTATAGATACATACATACATATGTAGATGTCTCAAGCCATTTGCAGCGCTTAAACTAAAATCGACTAGACATTCATTCAATTCCCATTAAGGTTTTAGTCTACATAAATTGCTGGCTTGTGTATATTCGTATTCATTTGTCGAGTTGCAAGTAGTAATTTTAAGTCATTTGTTTTTGCATTGCTGCTCTAATTTTATTATTAATAATTTGTTTAAGCATATGCAGGCGCATATGTATGTATGTATGTATCTGCATACATATATGGAAAGTTAAAGCTGTCTGACCTTCTGAAATTTATTAATGAAAAGTGGTTTGTTAAATTTTGCTTAATATGGCGAAGAATGCTTCTTTTTATTGAAACTATTTTAGAGAAACTGTATAATTAATTCATACATTAGTTTTGTGTAAGATTGTTTATGTTCGTTGATTCCTGTATGTACTAAGAGCGGTTAAAATTGATGGAAAAAATACAAATCAAGACCAACATTGCTGATCCAAAAAAAAAACAAGATTCAAGGAATAATGATTTTGCAATGATCTAAAAATAAAAATCATGTTAAATATTCAATGGCTATTTTCGCTAAATCTTTTGTGTATTTTAGTGTTTTAATTTTACAGCAATGCATAGGAAGAAATCTGACTATGAAGTTTCCTGGATTTCTTCTGTTCTTCGGTGTTTTTTTTTGCGGTTTCCTGAATTTTTTTTAAGTATTTTATGATTTTTTTCAAAAAATTTCAAAACTAAAATGAAATTTTTGCGTGCTTCATTATTTCATTATTTATTCAATACAACTCAACA